CTTAAAAACTTTAAATTTTGGAATACTAATTCAAAACCTAATTTCTATTTTGGCTAGACGAAACGTACGAACAATTAGGAGAGTGAGGTTTCCTCCCGCTCCACTTTTCACACAACTTGAGATATTTGAGGTAGACTTGCCAATATTAATTATTTTAAATTATAATTGCATGTATTATGTGAATTTACGTGATTTATATACTTTGATGCATTAAATGAGAATGTGTCATATGAGATATATGATTATACTTGTCATAACTTATATGCTTTATTACATGAGAAGAGACGAGTATCTCTTATGAGATAAGATGAGAATGTTATGCATAACTTATGTGCTTAAATGCATAAGACGAGACTACCCACACCCTATGTTTTTAAAGAGTCTATGATTTTCAAGAAAATGAGCCTATGATGATGATGTCACGATATAAATTACATGATTTCGTGTTCAATTATTCTGTAAATTAATTATCAATGATGAGTCTACTGAGTATTTCATCGAAATACTCATTCCGTTATCTTAACCATATTTGCAAATTTCGGAGACGGTCGAGTGTGAAGGGCAGTGGTGGCATAAATTAATAGTCGAAGTTATTTACTTTTGAAATTTACGCATTATGAACTTATTTTATTGTATCCGTTATTTCAAANTATTTACTTTTTAAATTTATACATTATGAACTTATTTTGTTGTATCCGTTATTTCAAACTTGAGTTCTGAAATTTAAACGATTTTCCACAAGTAATCAAATGAATTTTGTTGTCGACGATGTTTTATCGTTATAAATGCGATGTTTCAAAATTTAGTTATTTTTCGCAAAACTATTTAATTAAATCAGTTACAAAAGACGGTGACGTGGCAATCCGGGTTCACGAAACTAGGAGTGTTACATCTATTCCCACTCAATTTTCCCTCAAGATTGCACCCTTGTATTCTTACCCATCAATTTCATATGGCCGATTATTGGGACCGATGATTGGATTGCTCGTCCATAAAATGCATTCTTCCTATGTTGTTTCTTTGACATTTTGTTTAGTTTAATAAATGGACTCTTATCAATTATTGTTGATGCTTTCTACTTCAGCGGCATCCATTAGTGGAGTTGCAGAAGAAAATTTACATCTTTGTTTCAGAGTGAGAGAGTATAGTTTACAAATTATATTGTTTCTAGGGCAATAGTTATAAAAATGGTTGCAGTGAATTTATACAAATTATTTTGATATTAGTGAATACTTATAATGTGGTGTATCAAACAAAAGTGGTAATAGTGTTTTTTTTTTTTAAACTCCACATCATTATATAAAGACCCTGTTTGGTCTAGATTAAAATTTATTTAAAATTTCAAAGATAAAGTCAACAATTAATTGTAACTACACATTAACTTTTAAATCAAACACCTATTATCAAAATCTACTAAAAATATAATTTTAATCTACACCAAACAAGACTAAATAATTGGTCAAAAGCTGCTGACAAAAGAAAAGAAATTTTGGAATACAAACAAAGCATCTCTTACAATCACAATCAAGCAAAATGAAATTCACCATAACCTCCCTTATTGGGGAATAAAGTTACAAGATCCACAACTAACATTGCTAAGAAGTGATAAATATCTTGGAGCAACTGCAATTACAACTGTGAACCCAAATAAGTGACAAGAAACCTACCATAGATTAAAATCAACACAATATTATGTGATTCATATCCATTCAGCAAATTCTTATTTACCATAAAACGTAGATATGGACAATCAGTATGTTTTAATATTATCTGGTTTACCTCAACTTTCATTATACATGACAATTGACATCATATCCTAAAGACAATCCAAGTCAGCATTTTGTAAAATGCCCAAGAACAAACAAGTAGGAGTTACAAGAGTACTCGTATGCAGCAGCAGCATATACTATACTCAAACTAAAAAGACATATCATTGTCGATACTATTGAAGATAATATCAAATCAATATTATCCTGATTTGATATTATCTTAATTTGATTTTCATATCTACCTTAA